GCTGTCGGAGCATGTTTCTCAGGCTGGCAGGTGATGTCTAGTGCAGTGCTCTGTGGCAGGGAGGGAGGAGCAGTCCCATTACTCTGAGCTGCCTTCCCCATATCCTTCACCCTCCAGCACCAGACCCCGCCAGGCCCACTGGCTCTTCTCTGAACCCAGCTGCCCTCACTCCGCCTCACTGTAAATCCCTGCTCTCCCTGATGATCTTGGCCGAGGAGCCATCAAATCTCTTTTCCCTCCCATTCAGCTGGTCAAGTATCTTATCTGTCAAAGAGACATTTACTAGGCAACAAAACAGAAAACCACAAAAACATTTTATAAAACACCGATTTCTTATCCTAAGGAAGTCATGTGCCTTGTTGGGCTAGTGCTGGGGTTCCTTAACTTTGCTTCTTGTTATCTGGATGTAAAGGTGGATCAAGCCACTACTTACATTTTACGCTAAGGGAGATTTGGGTTTCTCAGTTGCTTGGTCAGTGGGATTCACACTCTGCTTTATTTTTTATTTATTTATTTATTTTATCCTCACCTGAGGATATTTTTTGATATTTTGTTCAGATAGAGTGGGAGGGAGAGAGAGAGAGAGAAACATCGACGTGAAAGGGACACATCGAGTGGCTGCCACCCACACAACCCAATCAGGGCCGGGGACAAACTGCAACTGAGGTACATGCCCTTAGCGGGAACCGAACCCGGATCTCTCCAGACCGCAGGCCAACGCTCTAACCGCTGAGCCAAACCGGCCAGGGCCACACTCTGCTTTGGAACCTTCTTTCTGTTATCAGCTCCGTGAATGATAACTCCCTCATCTCTGCGTCAAGATGAATGTTTAGCCCACAGCTGTCCAGGGCCCTATGATTCACTTACTTGGAAGGTGCATGTTTGGCTCTAGAACTCTCTTCATTGCCCTTTTTGGAAGGCCTATGGCTCCTACCCTCACTTTTGGGGTAGAGCTTGGCTTCACTTGACCATTTAAGCTAGCAGCTGGGTCTTAACGGTGGCTCTGTTCCAATGGCAGCCACCACCTTGCCGAGCCTCTGTCTCAGGTTAACTCCTGCTGATGACTCATGCTGTGTGAAGTGGACCCCATTCAAATGACTAGGTTCTCTATGATGTCTTCCCTCCAGTTGCCCCCGGAGAAACCTTCTAGAATCCTATCACTTCCTGATTGCCAGAGAACAGGTATACCTACTGTATATGCAATAGTTCCCAAGACCAGCAAGGAAGATCCTTTCCTCTTATGAAAACACAGAGCCACTGCTTTTCAGATGCAGAGATAACATGAAACGGGAATGAAAGCGAATGTTTGGAAGCCAAATCAAGAGTCAGAAAGATTTCAACAGTTGGGAACGACTTGCTAAAAGAAATAGAATGGAATTGGAAGGATATGTGTGTAGTCCTGAAGTGCGGCTTAGAAAAGTCATGTCTTCGGGCTCAAGGTTGGAGATACCTGCCTTAATTGCAGTTCATACTAGGGTGGGGGTTGTGGTTGGAGATTTTGTGTGAAGAAGACCACTGTGACCTGAGTGCGAAGAAGCGATGTGCTCTCGGGTGTATAAATAGCACTACTCCGTCCAGATTGGGCCCTGGTAGAGTATTGTTCATTATATTGTGTTTGACTAGCATATCGATTCTGAAAATTTTGAAATGGAACCCCTTTGAGTGAGGAATGTACTCTCCAGTCGTAGGCACTGATGTTACTTCCCTAATTCTAAAGGCTTTTGCATTTGTAGATGGTCTCTCTCCCTACTCCTTTGTAGAAATACTTTTTGGGGGCACAGGGATCTATCCTAAGCCCATACTTTGAGAGGCACTTAACTAAAGGGGATGAAGAAGAGGAGGATCCAGATAGGAAAGGAATTAGATACCAGTTCATGTTGCAGTAGTTGAGAGGACCGCAAATCTATAGCCTGGAGAGCTGTCTTCAAATACCTGAAGGATTGGCATGAGGAAGAGGAGTTAGGTTCAGTCCATCTCGAGGAACATGAATGGACCATGTGCCTTACTTCAGTCACTAAGTTGAGAGGATACAGAGAGGAACAAGATGGTCTCTGTCCTCAAGGTCAAGTTTACCACAAAGCAGAGATGGCTGTAAAATAGTAATACTCACGCTGTAGTTCTTCAAAAAACAGAAACATGGAGGCCGATTTCAGCTTGGTTTAGAAATGCTTTTCCTAACGATAAAAACTTTCCCCGAGTAGAATGGGCTGTCATGAAAACTTGTCACCAGTCATACTGTTCAACTGTTGAGGATGAGCTAGAGGAACTTTGAATGGGGGTTGGGGTAGATGACTTTTCTTCCTCTATTAGAGTATGGTTCCAAGACCATCGACTTGCTTTCCTTTACCTCTCTAGAGAGTCGTCACTGAGCCCACGGGTTGTATTCGCTGTCCCGGGCAGGGCACACTGGGAAGAGTGTGGGGTTGCAGGGTTTCCACAGTGTGGAGTTGCACTGCACGCAAGTCTTCTGTAGACACGCGCCAATAGGCAGGGTCCAGCTGTCTCTCTAATTCATGAACCTGGTAGAAAAATCTAGTAGCATATTTGGCAGAAGCAGTCTTGTTGCTGGTTGCTTCTTATTGTTTGTTGGCGTGTGTCTAGCTGTGAGCATCACGTCATCCCCTTGGAGTGGCACAACACTCCATTTCCAGGGACAAGTATCCTGAAGAACGTCTATTTCCCGTGTCCTCCACTCTCCAGAAACATCCAGAGACCAACTGCCAAGACAGGAGACTCCTAATCCTTCCCCTTTGATGGCAGAACTTTAAAATAATTCATATTTCTATTGCTGTGTCCCTAGAGATTCCTCAGCCCTAGAAAATGCGTAAGTCACATTTTGGCTGCAGGCAGAAGGCTAAACCAAGCAAAGACAGCATCTCTTCACAGCCTTTGAGGCAAAATGTTCTGGCAGCAGGATTCTCGTCCTGTCCTCTCTCTGCTACCCCATCACCATCATCATCAACTCGCACTTCTCAACTGTCTATATAATTGTAAGGAACGCAGACATGGCCTCTTTTTCTTGGCAGGCACATCGAAGGTTCAGAAAGGCAGATACTATCTGGATTTGGCATGTCTTTACAATTTTTGTGTGTTTGACCCTCGTTTAGCTCTTTGGGACATTTCCTTCCAGATACGTTAAAAATTACCTGGAAGATGTGGAAACAAGGTGTAGGTAGTAGGTTAGGGGGCGCAAACCGCCATCCACCTCCGCAGACCGCTATCGTGGCTCTGTGCAAAGGAGACAGGCGGTCCTTTCTAAAGAGCTTGGAGCCAGAATTAAATGTGAAACCCCACAGCTGCCGTGGCCGCAGGGTGTGTGGATATGTCAGGCGTCCTGGCAGACACTCTTCCGTTCCAGGGATTCTCTCCCCTGGGTGAGTGAGAGCTGAGCCAGCCCCAGGCTTTCCCCACACCTTCAGATGGAGTGGGCTCATCAGCCAAGCTACCTGCTTCCTGCATCGGGACCCCTGGAGTCTCTAGAGTAACAGCCAGAGGATGGAGGTTCGCAGCCCGCCGACAGCCAGTTAATTGCACCTGGAGGCTTTAAAAAAATGCTGGTGCAGGGACCCCATTCCCCAGAAATAATTTTTTTAAAGCAGCTTTACAAGTTCATACGCCATACAGTTCACTCCCTTGGAGTATACAGTTCAATAGTTTTAGTATATTTAGTCTTGTATGACTATTACCATAGTTTCAAGACATTCTCAGCAGTCACTTTCCATTTCTCTTCAGCTTCCCCAGCCCTAGACAACCAACCAAACATCTCCATCTGTCTCCATAATCTTGCCTGTTCTGGACATCTCACGTAAATGGAATCTCACAATAGGTGGTCCTTTGTGACTGACCTCTTTCACTTGGTATAACGTTTTCAAGGTTTGTCCCCATTATCATGTGTCAGTATTGCATTCCTTTTTATGGCCAAATAATATTCCATTTTATGAATGTACGCCATTTTGTTTATTTTGCTAACTCATCAGCTGATGGACATTTGGGTTGATTCCACTGTTTGGCCAGGATGATTAAACGTTGCTCAGGTTTTTGTGTAAACATATGATTCATTTATCCTGGGAATATACCTAGATGTGGAATTACTGGGGCTTATGTCTAACCTTTTGAGGAACTGCCAGACTTCTTTCCAAAGCAGCTGCACCATTTCACAGAGGTATTTCATAAAATCTCTCCATGATGATTCTAAATGTGATTACAATGTGCCGCCCATGTGGATAAGAACCCTTACTCTGTCTCATTTGGAAGTAAAATAACTGCGGAACATATATCAGCTTTCCCCCGAAGGAGACAGTACTTTTCGATCAGAACACCCACCCCTTCCAAGTGGTTCTTTTCAACATTCCACGTCCCTCAGCTCTCAGCAGTAGTCCAAGGTTAACCTGAGCGTCTAGGGACCCAGTCAATCTAATGCTGGTGGAAGATTAGCCGGTGTTCACCTTCCGCACAGGTTGGCTGTAAAGAATTAAGTTGATCTGGAGAACTGATCTGTAGATTAAGTGGAGCGGGGCCACAGATGTGTAACCCCACTTCTGAGGATGTGACATCCCTTCTTGTGTCATCACCTTCTTGGTGCTATCGGCTAAAAACTGAGTCACGAGGTGCCGACAAACACCCATTGCACTCGCTGTGAACTTGAGGCATCTGCTCATTCCTGAGATACTTGTAGCTGTTTGTCAGCCCTGCCATCCAGAGGGTAAACAACTTGCTGGGGATGAACCCCTGCCCCTGGGGCCCTTCCTGGCCTGTCTGGGAGAGGCGGAGACCCGCACCGTGCGGAGCGTCCGCGGGAACCTGAGCGTGAGGGAGGGCCGCGTGGTGGCCACACCAGGATCCAGCAGCCCCGCCCTTCACAAAACCCTGCTTCCCAAGTAGCCCGGTGGAGGGAGGCACAAACCAACTACTGCCTTCTGAGCTTTGAAAACTCCTCTGCTGCACATTTCCACGGCGCCTGTGGACCAGCCTGAGCCTTACTCTGTCCTCTGTGTTTGCAGCCACGGCACGGGCTACGAGAGCGAGAACCACACCACGCCCATCCTCTGTGGCGCCCAGTACAGAATACACACCCACGGCGTATTCAGGGGCATTCAGGTGAGTGCGCGGGGCCGGCTGGAAGTGGACTTCATAGCCTCTTTCCCTTCGCAACACCCTCTCACTTCCTTGCGGATGGCCATTTGACCCTAGCAAGCCTGTTCCCGACTGTATGTTCCTGTGACAGCAGGGACCCCTCCTCTTCCACGGGGGCACAGAGGGCAGCCTCCTCCTCTCCAGAGGCCACTGTGGAGAGGGCTGCCTCCCTGGCTCAGGCCACGATGCTTCCTGCAGAATCCCATCCTTTCCTTTCCCACGGTTTAATTCTTCTCTGCGGTGAGCTTCGAAACTCTTATATGTGGGGCTAAATGGGCTTGAATTAATGCCCTGCCTGTGATTTCTAAGAAGGCTTGGTCTGCATTGTAAAATGCCCAAAGATAGACTCTATCTTGCCAAGTGTTGATAATAACAATAATAACATTAATAATAGCATCACCACACTTTCTATACGCCGGGCATTGTGCTAAGTTTTATACATGGACTTAAAAAAAATAGACTTAATTTTTCCCCCTTTATTGATTTTAGAGGGAGAGAGAGAGAAAAACATCAATGAGAGAGAACATCAATTGGCCGCCTCCCACATGTCCCCCACTGGGGATTGGGCCCACAAACTGGGCATGTGCCCTGACTGGGAATTGAACTGGCAACCTCTTGGTGCATGGGTGGATGCTCAACCACTTAGCCACATCGGCCGGGCTAGACTTAATTTTTTTACAGCAGTGTTTGGTTCAAGGAAAAATTGTACAGAAAGTACAGAGTTGCATATCTTTTCTCTCCCTGCACCCCCCCCACCCCCCGCCTCCCCACACATAGTCTCTCGGATTATTAGCATTTTGCTTTGGTGCATTTATTACAGTAGATGAGACTACAGTGACACATTATTGTTAACCAAAGTCCATAGTTTACCTTAGGGTTTCACTGTTTCTGTTGTGTGGTTCTGTGGGTTTTGTTAAATGCATAATGCCATATATCTCCCATTACAATATCATACAGAATAGTTTACTGTCTAAAAATACCCCATGCTTTACCTGTTCATCCTTCCCTCTCTCCCCTTCCCTTGCCCCACAACCACTGATCTTTTTACTGTCTCTATGGTTTTGCATTTTTCCAGAGTGTCATATAGTTGGAATCATACAGTATGTAGCCTTTGCAGAGTGGCTTCCTTCACTTAGTAATCAGAGTGGCTTCCTTCACTTAGTAATAGGCATTTCAGCTTCTCCCATGTCTGTACATTGCAGCCCCCTTTAATCCGGCACACCTTTGTGAGGTAGGTACTGTTATTAGCTCCACTTTGTAGATAAGGAAACTGAAGTCTGGAGAAGATGAGTGACTTGTCCAAAACCACATAGCTGGTAAGAGAGTGAAGAAAGTGAAGTAAAAAGGTAACCCTTGCACAGAATTGGGGAAACTCAGTGAAGGCCGCCTCTGCAGAGCCTCCTTTGGGCGGTCAGAACCACACCCAGTTACCAAGAATCGGCATTTGTTACTTTTGCATGCGACTTAGTTGCTGCAACATGAGAAACGGTGATGCTACTTTCCCCAGACTCGTCAGTGCCCTAGAAATCGGTGGTGTGCGGGCCAGGACTCCACTCAGGTAGTCCTGAGACGTTCTGATCCACGTTTCCAGGAGCGTCCTGGTGATAGGACATTGTGCCCCTTCATCCCAGGCCTTCCAGTGGTGGGAATAGAGGCAAGGGCTACAGAAATACGGAAATCTATGGAAGTACAGAGTCATCCAGTCTCCCCTCCAGCAAATGCCACCAGCCTCCTCCATCAGGACCCTGTCTGACACTGACAGCTGGATCCTAGATCCTACTGCCGGGCGCGTTGCTTCTAGGATGAATTGCGGGAAATGAAAAAAATCTTTTGCCTTCCTTTCCACCAAGCCCAGTTGGTCAAACTCACTGTCAGGGCCTCTGCTCGACTCCAGCCCAGTTTCACTACCCACTCAGTTTCTCCTGGACCGTACCAATCCAAACACAGCCGGTTCACCGTTTAAATTTAGACTGCCATTTGCCTTGAGATGCTGTGGCCGATCAGCAGCAAAACTTCATGTCACCAGAGGACTTCTTTAAAGCAGAAGATCGCACAGTGCCAGGCTGTGTGAAATAAAAAGTAGAACGTGAGCACGAGGGTGGTACGGAAAACGCACAGGGCAGAGAATGGGTTAAGCTCAGAAGGGTTCCAGACCTTAACATAAACCATGGATGTGCTCTTTGGCCTTGCTTTGCAATTCTGTAAGGATGAGGAGGATTCAGCTGCCCCTGAGGCACTTGCTCGGATCTATGACTCATTGATCCTGAGAACAGGAAGAGGAGCTTGCCTCACTGTTTCCCTGTAGCTCTTTCTCATGAAGGACTGACCATACACATACCCTTGCTCACAAGATAAAGGCGGTCGACAATGCCCTGGGAAGGACGTGTGCAGTGTACAAAGGCACACCCAGTGTTTTCTGGTGTCACTGTTACAGGATTGCACTGGCTACGTGGGGCCTCTGGTGCATTCATCTCCCCTGCACAAGCAGAACCCCCAAATCTCAGGGGCTCCTTCTTCTTTGTCATCTACTCACACCTGGAAGATCTGGTTACTTTGGAGCTCAGCTAATATCCCAAATGTCTCCAATAAAGACGTCTTCACCCATTTCAGATGGGGCCAGGGTCATGTGGCCATGCCTCTGAGTGGGAGGGAATGGAATAGAACTGGGACTTTGGGCTTCCAGACATCACTGCATCTGGTGGAGAAGCTGAGAGACAGGATGGGTAGGGAGCTCCTCCAGCATGTCTTTTTCAGATACTCTGGATCAGCCACCCCAGGCAGACTTCAAGTACTGGTTCTGGTTGACCAGTGATGATGTTAGAGCACTGTATTGCAGAATGTACGATCTGTCATCCATTAGTGATGTCTGCTGTGGGCATGGTGTGTGGAGGAGAGCATGTCTGCCATCCCTTCCTTGGGTATATTCCAATGTTTATGTTCCCCCGGGACCGACAGGCATGTTCACATGTGGCTTAAAGCCTCCATTTCTCTTACACTCTGCTTGCAGGACGTGCGGCGTGTGCCTGGAGTAGCCCCGACTCTTGTCCGGTCTGCATCTGAGACCAGTGAGAAACGCCCCTTCATGTGTGCTTACCCGGGCTGCAATAAGAGATATTTTAAGCTGTCCCACTTACAGATGCACAGCCGGAAGCACACTGGTAAGTGTGCCCACCGTCGAGCCTTGGTCCCGTGACCTTTGGGCAGGGGTGGTTCTGGAGCTCCTGCACCTGGTTCTCACACTGCTGTGGACCCCTGTGATTTCTGGGATGGAACGTAGGCACCACTTTGAAAGGTCTGGCATTGGTCATAGAAGGTGGCTGCGGGGTGATTTTGCATCCTGATTATCCATCCTTTGAGAAAGAAGGCAGTAAACTGCCTTCAGGAAAGGCAGAGCAGAGTGGTGGAAAGAGACTTGACAGAATTAAAGAGCCTGGTGTTTGAATTCTGGTTTCATCACCAAGTGGCGAGACCTAGGGGAGGTTACTTAACCTCTCTTTGAACTTCATTTGCTTCACGTGAAAAATGGAGATGATAATGCCTACCTTATACAATTGTTAAGATCAGAGTAAACTGTAATATTAAACTGAATCAAAGGAGTTAGAGATATAAAGCATTACCATTAGACCACTATTTGCATCTCTAAAGGGAGAGGAGCTAGCCTGGGGTTTGGTAATCAGATGATTTTGAGAACTTGATGGGCAGGGTTATCCTAAGATGAGGGAGAGATGGTCCAAGGGAAAACTGAACTGCTTGGGTTAATAATAATCAACCAGATAAGAATGGGAAAATGAATTGTAGATTTAATTTTTGTTTTCAATCTTTAAAAAAATAAGAGATGAGCCCTGGCCGGTTTGGCTCAGCGGTTGGAGCGTCGGCCTGCGGTACAGAGAGACCTGGGTTTGGTTCCTGCTAAGGGCACGTACCTCGGTTGCAGTTTGTCCCCGGCCCTGGTTGGTTGTGCGGGTGGCAGCCACTCGATGTGTCCCTTCACATCGATGTTTCTCTCTCTCTCTCTCTCCCTCTCTCTCCCTCTCGCTCTATCTGAACAAAAAATGGAAAAAATGTCCTCTGTTGAGGATTATATATATATATATATATATATATATATATATATATATATGAGATGATTTTTGATGATGTATGAAGGAAAATTTGATTTTCCAACAGGTCAAGGGGTCTGCCTCTGGGGAAGAGAATTGGCCTTGTCTGGTTGTTGGCCACCTTGAATGTGAACAGCCGTTTCACAGATGTTTGCCCTTGGCCTGTGGGCACTGTATGGAAGTGAGGTTGGGTCTCTCCTATAGGAAAACAGTGGGAAGAGCAGGCTTTCCTACAGGGCAGTTGCCATACTTTTTATTTTATCATTGATTTTAGAGAGGAAGTGAGAGTGGGAGAAAGAGAGAGAGAAACATCTTTGTCAGAGAGAAACATTGGTCAGTTGCCTCTTGCATGTGCCCTGACTGGGGATGGGAACCCACCACCTTTTGGTGTATGGGACGTTGCCCCAATCAACTGAGCCACACTGGCCAGGACTAATTTTAGAGAGAGGAAGGGAGAAAGAGAGAGGGAAATATCAGTGTGAGAGAAACATCAATCGGTTGCCTCCTACATGTGTCCTGACTGGGGATCAAACCTGCTACCTGGATATATATGCCCTGAGCGGAAATCAAACCTGCAACCTTTTGGTGTATGGGACGACTCTCCAACTAACTGAACCACCTGGCCAGGGCATTCTTTTCACAACTGAAGGACAGCTGTGTTGTGGCGATCACCATTATTAGTTCATTGTTCCTGCTGATTTTACTTTGGGGAAGCTGAAAAACAAAGTGATCTGCATTCAGATCTCTAGACCATTACACTTGGCTAAGTCGTTGCATCTGGAGGATGCAGTTCCTGCGTAAACCTGACTTTGCACTTCGTGGACCACTTGCTTTGAGGCTACAGATGAGAGGACCAGTGGCGTGTTCTGTTTTTACATAGTTCCCTAAATGGGATCTCTTGGAAAGTAAATGGTAAGGTTATAAGGAAAATAGTAAAGCACAATTCTTAGAAAAATGTGAGGGAATATATTCAAGAAATATCATTGTATAAACTTTTAATGGAAAAAGAGACACTTAGAAAATAATGAGGGTTGGATGCCTGTGTGAAGGGAAGACAGTAGACAAGATCGCCATGACTACCAGACCCGCTGGAGCATTTGCGAAGCTCTTCCTTGCGGAAGATGAGGAGGGCAGCCTGGTATATAACAATCCTGTGGCCCCTTCTTGAGACAGTGCAATTTAAAATTTTTATTACTTTTTTAATAAGTAAATACAATTTATTAAAAATAAATAAAAAATTTAAAAATAAAAAATTTTAAAAATTTTAATAAATAAAAAATTTAAAAATAATACTAGTGCAGATTATAATAAATAAGTTTCTATCCAATGCTTTCTATGTGGCAGGCTGTCCACATACATTATTTCAGTTAATCCTCGCACGTAAAGCAGTTATCGGGTAGGGTACAGTGGAAGCAGGACTCAGACTCATGCCTTTTAATTCCCAAGTCACAAGCCCCTGCTCAAAGAGTATGTGGTCTGCTTTGGAGCTAGGATATTCACAAATGACAAGGGGCGAAGAGAGTGAATGGTAACTTACTAAACCGGAGGCTGGGGGGATTGGGAAGAATGGTTCAGGGAGTATTGATTTGAGCTAGGGTCAAGAAGGTTTCTTGGTGGAGGAAGGGCTTGGGCTGACATCAGGATTGATGAAGCCAGGCAGAGGAAGGAAAATGAGCAGAGGCAGAACGGCAGGGAAGAGAAATGAGAACGAAGAGGGGCGTTGTCCTCTCCAGGTGTAGAGGTGACGCGTACGTCACTGGGCTGGGAACAAGTAGCCGTAAAGGAAAGGCCCCTGCCATCAGGATCTCCCAGCCCATGGAAGGAGGTAGACCTGGACCCAGCCCACCACATTCGATGTTCCGTGATCAGTTCTGCAGGGAGGGAAGGAAGGGCTGTCGGTCTGCACATGAACTTTCCAGGAAGGCATCACGGAGGAACAGGCATCTGAGGAACGTACAGCTGACTTGGCCGGGTAGGAATGTGGAGATAGAGACCCAGGGCGTTTAGTGTGAGCAAAGTGCAAGGCAGATTTCGGGAATGGTGAGCTCTGCTAGAGCAGGAATACAGATTACTCGGGGTAACGGACGAGGCTGTGGGGCTGGAAAGGTAACTAGGGACTGCCCTGCCACGGAAAGACCCGGCCGAGCCCCGGGTGGCTTGCTCTGCATCCCAGAAGGCTGGTGACTCAGAATTCTCATAAGAAGGTGGAAAGGCCCGAAGTCGCCTAGTGCACTCGTGGGGCCCTCTTCCCAGTGTTTGGCTGAACTTTCTCGAGTGAGGACAGGGTGGGGCTTCTCCGTTCTGAGACGGGAGGTTGTGTAATCCCACTACTGACTTCTCTGATAAAGGGATAGCAAAAACTTTCTGAGTGCTTTGGCTCTTGGCTTAACTTGAGCGTCTCACAACCGTGGAACTGTTTATGCTTGACTCTGGAATGAGAAGTCGGTAGCAGAGAACACCAAATCTTCAGGCCATAAAATATAAAACACTTATTTCATGGGGCCAGCTCCAAGGCACATCCTTCCCCAAATTCTGCCTCCAGACCAGTCTAGGAGTTGCGACTTCTTTAGTTTATTTGTCTAAATGTTCTCTGCCAATGATATTTTGAGCCCTGCTTCTGTGCTAGGTACTGGGCTAAGCCCTTTATGTGGATGGTCTGGTTTAATCAGTTTGTAAATCCTTGGAAGTTGTCAGATTATTGGCCCCATTTCACAAAAAGGAAACTGTACCTCAGTGAGCACTTCAAGTACCAGAGCTGGATGTGACCCTTGTGTCAGACTTCAGAGCCCGGGTTTCCAATTACTTCTAACTAGGAGGTGAGGGAGCACCCTCATTCACCTAACTCCACTTTCCACACCCACTGTCTACGAGCCCATGGACAGGTGGGCCTTTACCCACACACTGCCGGTGGGAAGGCCACCCTGACTTGCCTTAGGCCTTTTGGGATCTATCTCTTCAGTCCCAAGAGGAGAGGTTGCCTTTAATGAGGTCCCCACGTCCAGTATCGTTTTCAAATGGAGTCTGTGTCTTCCCCCAAGGTGAGAAACCATACCAGTGTGACTTCAAGGACTGTGAGCGAAGGTTTTCTCGTTCAGACCAGCTCAAAAGACACCAGAGGAGACACACAGGTTTGTAGGTTCACTTCTCATTGCTGGCAGTGTGCTCCCTCGCGTTACAGTTGATGCTGTGATTCTCTTTGTTGTTAAATGTGGATGTGAGAGGGTCAGCCATTGGTTTCATTTTTCCAATTTTTTTTTTTTTTTTAACCCTCATCTCTGGGGATTTTCCTTCACTTCAAAGAAAAGAGAGAGAGAGAGAGAGGAAAGGAAAAGGCGTATCTCACATTTATTATGCAGACCACAGAGCAATGAGATCCCACTGGCCTCGTTGATGATACACTGAGCATCAGTAGAGACCACGGGTGGTGGAGATCAGAACCCCATCTGTAGCATTTGATTCTCTTTTTCAGTCTTGCACACAGCTGAGACCTCAGTCAGGAGCTAGACATCTGTGGTTAAGGAGTAATTGTTCCCAGGACCAGAAGCATGTCTTCAAGGATTAGGCACAGAATCGGGTGTTTCACGCTGGGCCTGGGGGAAATCTGAGGGTGAGGCAGATGTTGCAAGCATGGCTGGAAATGCCGGGCTCCTCCAGCCTACGGGAAGTAGGCCTCGTGCGCCTCGTTGGCCTCGTTATGCCCCCACGTTGTTAGGGCTGCGGCTAGACCTTCTCTGTCCGTTTAGGTGTGAAACCATTCCAGTGTAAAACTTGTCAGCGAAAGTTCTCCCGGTCCGACCACCTGAAGACCCACACCAGGACTCATACAGGTAAAACAAGTGCGTAAACTTTTCTTCACATTTATTTTTCATTATTTTTTTTTAAACTGTTGAATGAAGTTGTTTATGATGAGAGAGATTGGAAAAGACTAGTGGAAAAGGGTTCTAAACAGGTTTAGACTCAGATGAGAGGAAACAGTATATGGCTATTTTTAAATAATAACATTGTTGAAGAAGGGTGGGGGGAGGATACAGAACAGAAGAGAGATGTGACAAGAACTCTTTGCGTGAATGTCCAGAATAAAAACGAAGAGATAAGTTAGGTTCCTTTTGTTCCCAATTTATTGCATCATGTTTTTACCACTCAGCTTGATATGATAATCAACCTTACAGAAAAACAGCAGAAATTCTAGCAAGCCAAAATCTAGCAAGCTAAACATTTATTCTCTTGAAAGTTCAAGTTTCACGGCACTAGTTTCAGAGACCTGGATTCTTCCTCTGCTAAAGTTACTGCCCCAGGAGCTGTTAGGTTTCTGCCAGACTCGTATCAGCATGTGGATATTATTTCCTTTGCACTAGTCTAGAGAAAGGAATAGGGATTTATTCACCGGCTGCTGATGGCTTCTGCTTTTCCGTGAGGCTGGTGTCATTCAGAATGAAAATGGCACCATCTTTGTTGTGTATTTTATAGCTTTGGAAGGAGGGCCAATGCCTAGGTTATCTTACTTTATCTTCCCAGCATCCTTGTAAGAAGAGTAGAGCAGGCATGTTCTAGCCCCATTTTACAGATGAGGGGACAGAGGCACGTAGTGATGAAATGACTTGTGGAAAGTCCCAAAGCTAGTAAGTAGCAAACCCAGTTTTATCTGCTCCCAGCCCACCACGTCCCACTGCCTTCTTTTTTTTAAAAAAAATATGTTTTTTTAATTGATTTCAGAGAGAGGAAGGGAGAGGGAGAGAGAGAGAGAAACATCGATTGGCTGCCTCCTGTACCCCCCTACAGGGGATCGAGCCTGAACCCCAAAGCCTTTCTCCCACTGCCTTCTTTGTTGGAGAAAGGTTTGGGGGTTTGGGGTTCAGCCCAGGGAGGAAAGAGAATCAAGAAGAGAGCCCCGGTCAGCAGAGTTGAATACCATTGATAGAGTGAAGGCAACAAGAGAAAGGGTAGGACAGGACTTTGGCAGCATGGCTGGGGGTGGGGGTTGGGGAACAGGAGCCAGACCAGGAGAGCAGAGGAACAGCGAGTGGGAGGTGAAGGAAGGCATGACGTCATGAGCCCCTGGTGTAGTCCCGGATTCTCAACCCAAACAGGCTGCACTTATAGACAGAGTCAGTGTGCCTGTGCCCCAGAGTTGGTGGGATGGGCGTCTCATTTGCCCCACTCAGGTGCCTTTGGTGTTATTCTTTGCCTTCATCCTGAACTCATTAATTGTTGGGAAAGTTTCCATTTCTTGCACCCCAGCCCCCTACCCTGTGCATGACTGCACATGTGCGAGTGACCTATGTCACCAGCAGGCTGCTTAATGCTATACTTGATCAGCCCCGAGTGACCCTGGGACTAGACAGCACCTCCCCTGGGATGGGACAGCACCTCCCCTGGGACAGGACAGCACCTCCCCTGGGAGATTTCTCAGTGCTTGTCTCGACCAGTAGTTCAGAGAAAAGGCAACGTGGGACCAGCAATGTCCTGAGAAGATCCCCAGGTGGTACAAGGATTGGCTTCTGTGGCATTTTTACTCAGCATAAAGTCACAGCTATATTTCCAGTATGGCTAGGCCCAGGAGGCGGGACACAGCAAAGTGCTTGCTTGGGCTTTGAAATGACACTGACCTGGGTTTGAGTCTTGCTTGGGTCTGTCCTCCCCAGATGTCCACTCTTGTCTGTAGAGTGGGGATAACAATCCTCCCCTTACAGAGCTGTCTAAGGAGTACATGAGGCAAGCCGTATATATACAATGCCCAGCACAAGGCTTGGCATCTATTAGGCACTTGATAAATGCTCATTATCTTCCCTGTACGGAGTGAGGTTTGGAAAGAACTTCCGAGGTCGCCTTAGATGGAGAAGACTCGATCTTTTGGCAAGCTCGCTAAAAATCTCAAAAATGATGCCTCAACTAGAATTTTCTGTGTAACAGGAATTTTGCTCTGAGTAACACTTTAAGGAATAAGAAGCAAATACCATGCACACGGGTGTCAGTGACTTATTTGAAAATACTCAGCCTGGCCAGAATAGCTATACAGACAGAGATAAGAAAGCTCCAGTCACAGCTCTGCTACTGCATGGCGGCTCATCTGGGACACCCAGGGGGATGATCCTGAGGCCCTCGCAGCCCAGTGAAGTTCAAGTCCCTACTTAGACAGCACAGGAAAAAACTTACCCACTGCACAGAACAGTCTGACAGGAGAGGTTGAGACAAGTGTTCTTCCCCCCCTTAATTACATACGAATTAGCCAGACGTTTCCATTCCCAGCCTCCCATTTCCCAAGTCTTCTGACTTAATAATATTTATACTTTTTTGGTGTTTTAATCCTAAGGCCTCAGAGGTGCTGCCCATTCAGAGCTCTCCGTGAAAAGAGCTGGGCGCGTTAGCTTAGGGGCAGAGCTAGAGGGGTCGGAGCGGGTGCCTGGTGTGGACTTAACTTGGGCCCTTGAGAGCTGAACGTGCACCATCTTTTCCACCGCAAGGATCTGACTGGCGATTGTGTCAACAGGTGAAAAGCCCTTCAGCTGTCGGTGGCCCAGTTGCCAGAAGAAGTTTGCGCGGTCAGACGAATTAGTCCGCCATCACAACATGCACCAGAGAAACATGACCAAGCTGCAGCTGGCACTCTGAGGGGTCCGACCTGGGCACAGCTCCATGTGCCAGGCAGGACAGTGTGGGAACTTCCAAATCTGACTTCCACATCCCTCCTCACTCACCTCTCTGAGAAGTGGCAATTCGTCGTCTTCGTCCAGCTTCCAAGACAAGATGCGTGTACTACTGGATCCCATCAGATTTGCCCGGAGAAGGTGGCCTCTGCTTTGCCACCTGGCACTGGACTCACAAGGCCCCAGAGAGGTGGCCAACAACGTCTGGTTCCTTACAGGCCCATCGCTGTTTGATCTGGATTGTCCAGTGTAAGAAGAGCCATTGTTAATAATGCTCCTCTGCCCTCTTCTTTTTACGCTCATTTTCGCCGGGAATGGAGTCATTGTACCATTTTCCATCATAGAATATTTATAGGCCAGGGCATGTGTATGTGTCTGCTAATGTAAACTTCGTCATGGTTTCCATTTACTAACAGCAACGGCAAGAAATAAATCAGAGAGCAAGGCCCTGGGGGTGAGTCCCGCCCGGCAGTGCGGAGGTTAGGCAGGCTGCGAACTTGCCAGGCAACTTGGAAAACTCATGTTTCAAGCAGCTGAAAAAAAATCAGAACTAACCAGCAACTCTGTAGAGAAAGCTAAAAGAATCTTACCACTCAGTTAATTCATTAACATTAGCACAATGCTCTTAAGAAACTGTGCTTGAAGATCTGAGATTTTGGTTTTGTGTTTATTTTTGACTGTTTTGAGTTGTAGTCATATGCATCTTCAGAGATGTACATATCTCTTCACACGAAGGAAGTGGAATTCATTTTTATCATTTGGGGTGTCCTTAGAGTCCTTAGAGTGTACAGGTCACGCTGGTTATGTGGCTTCACGTTGTAAAAATTAAAGCGACTCTAAAAGAAATAGGGCTGATCCAGGATCTCCCCTGATAAGACTGTTCTTAAGTAACTTAAGTAACTTTGGGTCTACAAGTATTTGTGCAAAAAAATGATGCTTAACTAGTGTGAGGAAATCCTCTGTTTAAAGGTAATTGAGTGTGTGTGATTTTATTTCGTTTTTTTTTAAGGGAGGGAGGTTTTTATTTACTGTTGCCTGAAATTATTGTGTAAATATATCTATCTGATAATGATCTGTTCTTTGACAACTAAAGTTAGGAAATGTATAAATGTTAGATGCATCACTGTCTTGGTGTCGATCTTACAACATATGGATAACACTGAAAATGTAACCTGCATTTTTCACTTTGCTCTCAATTAAAGTCTATTCAAAAGGAAAGTGGCAAGATTCTATCAGCTGTTTTGAATTCAGATCTTGACAGTTGAACCTCTTTTCTTTTTCTTTTTTTTAAATAAATGTTTTTATTGTTTGTTTGTTTTTTAGAGAGAGGGGGGGGAGGGAGAGAGAAATGTTGATGTGAGAAATATTGATCAGCTGCCTCCCGCATGCCCCCTACTGGGGATAGAGACTGCATACCAGGCATGTGCTCTGACCAGGAATCGAACTGGGACCTCTCAGTCCATGGGATGATGCTCAGTCCACTGAGCCACACTGACCAGGCAAGCCTCTTTTAAATAGGTAGGATACTGCCAACATCGATGACCACTAGTTGAGTCTGTCCAGGTCCTGACCACTATTTATTTATCTCTGTCGAAACTCAGGAGGCAATTATCCATCCTAGAATCATCCAGAGGTTTTGCTCACATCATAAGTTGACTGTGCTGGTGCTGGGGTTGAATGGGCTTATGGACAGGGTGGTGGGAATTGTGTTTTAGGGTTCATTTGAATCGGGCTATCACTACATCATTTCCTTTTCCAGGTCAGCAAAAGAGAATAGAGAGATGCTAATAATAACAAGTCATTTTTGGAAAGTTCACAATTACACACTACAATCAGGAAGGTAGACGCCGTACACCTAGTACAAGTGAATTTACAGCTATAGTTACTGTAAATCAGCTCAGCAGGTTGAAAACCGCTTAGACTTTCCAGGGCGGCCAAGTGTGAAAGCAAAGATTTACATTATCTATAAACTGTAAACTCTTTCCGGTTCTGGTGTATGGTTTTTCAGTTGTAAATAAGGAGATTAATTTGGTGCTGCCCTCTCAGCTCCATTGTCTTGGAGCTCGCATGCATTCCAGGTTTCATTTCTTCCTTTAAAATGTGTCTGGAGCACCGGCAGCTCAGCCATGGGGGCTGTTTTCTGCATCGAGGTGCTGCTCCCAGATCTGGCCGCCTACAAGTCAGGTCCTGAGGCCCTTCATAGTTTGCATCTGGCTCTTGCATCACTGTTAATTATAGCGAGTGTGATGACTCATTTGTATCAGCCGTTTTTATCTTTTCCTGCCAGAAGACAGCGGTTTTTCTGGAGAAGCTCAGGACAAACATGGCAAACATCAGCGAGTCCAAGGGAGCCAGGTTTCACAACAAAAGCAAAGTCACATTGTTTCAACTGCACGAGGAAAACCAGAAAGGCTCACGTTACCCACGCAGTTTAGCCTGCAGTTAAGGTCATGGGCTTTGGAAAGCAGACCAACCTGGGTTCTCATCCTAAATTCCCAGTTTCCTCATCTGCGATACAGGGACCAAAGAGTCCCCTGCCTGATAGGGTTGGAGTGAGGATTAAATGGGGGGAAGAGCATGGAAACATCTAGTGCACAGCAAGGCTTAAGAAATACTACCTAGGAAACCGATGATCCACCTGCTGATTTCCTTCCCCTCCCACTCCCCAGGCATGCTCTTTGCAGTGTCCAGGCATCTTCATAGGTCAGCTCTGCAAAATAACAAACCAGAGTTAAGGTTTGTAGCAATAGGGCTCTTGCCAGCCTCCCCACAGAGACTGTATCCACCTGCTTTGTGTCTTTTGTAAGACACCTGGTGGCTCGGAGTGTGTGTTTCTGAGACCCATGGTGTTGACCACTGGAAGAGTGTCAGGATGAAAGTTGGCCAGTGGGGGCTCCATATTTAACCTGGGCTAGAGGCTGTATGAGGTGCAGTTGTCAAAATGTTCATTTTCCCCACTCGATTTACTGTAGTGCCTGTTCAGTGTATGGTTCAATATTTTTTAAAAGATTACCTCCAGCCCCCCCTTTCCTATCCCCCAAGGATCTTCGCAGATCATTCTTATCACTCCTAGCCTTCTCATCTCTGAACTTCTGTAGCCCTCAGAGTATGTAACATTAAATATATCACATATGGGTGTGTTGCTTTCCCATCTAGGACAATCTGTAAGGTAAACAGGACAAGTATCCCCACTTTATAACTGAGGCAGCTGAGGTTCGGTGAAGGTAAGTGGCTGAGGCAGGTCTTGGTCATGGTGTTCTGCACTCAAGTTTCCTCTGAAAGGTGCTTGATGATTTATTTCTCGTGCACTCTGCTCCATTGCTACATGTTTGTGAGTCCTATCTTCCCAACAAGAGTGTGAGCTTCTAGAGAGAAGGAGCAGATCTCCCTTTCCCGTGTTCCTTACATCAGGGCTTCTCACATTTAATAGTCAGAGACATGCCCTGAGGAATTGGTTAAAGTGCAGACTCAGATTCGGACGTGCTGGCGCAGAGCCTGAGATTGTGCATTTCTAACAAGCTCCCAGGCGATTCTCTCCCTGCTGGGCTGTGGCCCACACTTTACCTAGCGAGGACCTAAAAGGTGGGCTCATAAATACCTGTGGAAAGGTGACCAATGGGATTTGTACTGGACACTCCTGAGACTGCACTGAAACTTTCCAGAGTGGCCAGGGAAGACGGCCGGGCTCTGCTGGGATGGTCCATGGGTCTGTGGGTCAGGACGTTCATGCTGAAAGCAGTCAGAACTGTACGTGCTAGCCCAGGCGACTCCGTCCATGAGGAGGTTTATTTTCAAACTCGGTCTTCCCATCCTCTGTCAGTGACTTTCCAGAAGCAGGGGAGACCTCCCCGGGTAAGATAAGGTGTGGTGCATGGTCACATCTGCATATCCAGTCTTTTTGCCTCATTCAGTCCACATCTCAGCAATAGGCCTCTATGTCCCTGACACCCACAGACTGAACTCACAGCTTTGGAGAGGATTTCGTCCCTGTGAGCCAGCAGCCTCGCCGGCGGGGAGGAATTCCCATGTCCTGCTCCTCCTGGGAACCACTTGCTTAGCTCCTTGAGGCCTGGTCTCCCTGCTGGGTGTTTGCCTCTCTGATCTTGGGCTAACAGGTGTGTCAGTGAGGGGCATGTGGATGTGTAAAAACAGTGGTTCTCAACTTCAGGCACTTTTTAAAAAAACCTCCCAGCAGGCTGAGTGGCTTATAGGAATTTCTCACAGTTAAATGGGTAAGAACCGTATAGGAAGGGAAACCAATCACAGAAAATAAGAAGGTCTTGGCCCTTTTCAGTCAGGTCTTTGCTTCTATTTTATTTATCAAGGGAATGAGATCTGTGCCATACTTAATCAATACATTTAAATAATTAGGATGATGACGACCACACGTGGTCCGCTTCCTTGCACTGAGCAAGCAGCTGCTTCTGTGGAGGGCTCTGGGCTTTTCGCCATTTTTCAAGCAAAGTCGTGATTCTGTTAGTTTTCAGAGTGGCCTTGGAAGGAAAGAGAGCCAGACAGCATGGGAAGGGTCGCCACCAGACCAGCCAGCAGACAGCCCTTGCCGGCACGACCTCCTGAACAGCGTTGGGATTCAGGGACTGGCAAGGGGATGAGGATGTTTTCCTGAGCACCCGGACTCTGCAAAGTCGGTGCCTCCGAGCGCAATCTGCTGAGGACCCGGGCTCTGCAAAGTCGGTGCCTCTGAGCACAATCTGCTGAGGACCCGGACTCTGCAAAGTCGGTGCCTCCGAGCGCAATCTGCTGAGGACCCGGACTCTGCAAAGTCGGTGCCTCTGAGCACAATCTGCTGAGGACCCGGACTCTGCAAAGTCAGTGCCTCCGAGCGCAATCTGCTGAGGACCCGGACTCTGCAAAGTCGGTGCCTCTGAGCGCAATGTGCTGAGGACCCGGACTCTGCAAAGTCGGTGCCTCTAAGCACCATCTGAGAGTCAGCCCACTACGAGTGGAAGCCTCAGACAGAAAGATCTCGGATGGAAGCAGCGAAGGCAGACCAAATGAGCAAATATGAGTTTAAGAGAGAAGGAGATATTTTTATGGAGCAGGGGAGGATTGAAGGATGGTCCGGGGGAACGGGGCTGAGATAAATGTGGAGGGTGGGCTGGTGGAAACAAGTGGCTTCTCCCCCTCACAGCATCCCTGGGGCACTGGTGATGTTGACACTGAGCGAGAAGGATTGCCTGATACGGCAGGGATTCCGAGGGCCACTGAGGAGGCAGTTGGACTCCAGAGAAAGGAAGGAGGGGTGGAAAGAGGGAGACGACTCTGGGAAGAAACATGAGACAGATGAGGAATGGAGTGCGGATGTCAGGGAGGTCTGACAGGAAGAGGGGGCTTCTGTCTGACAGGGCCTGACCCCCGGGTGAACCCACACCCGCGCTATGAACACACACCCAGGGCTTTCCCGAACAGGAGATGCTGAAGTGCTCGCGTGAGAGTGATGAGAATGGGCGTCTGGACCTTTATGTACAGGCCAGTGCCATTTTACATGCATTCTCTTGTTGGGGACGTTCCCATTTTACAGAGGAAGAAACCGAGGCTCTGGGGCGTACCTCCCACAGGGTCACACAGCTCACGTGTGGCAGAGTTGAGATTCCAACCCAGCGCTGACCCAAAGCCCACCTGTACCGTGTTTACGCCCCTCGTCTCAGGGCAGGTGGGCCCTGTGGACCGGAGGAGCGGGAAGGCCTTCCTGCCCACTTGCTTGTCTGGATACCAGGCATGTTTGTCAAGTGCCCAGAGGAAGGGTGGGCACGATCGGCAGAATGTTCCCTCTTCCCATATCCAGTTGTGGAGGGAGCCTGTTTGTAAAATGTGTTTTCATTCAATATTTTATGTTAAATACCGGAACTTAAGAAATGACATAGCATAAATGTTAGCCGGACAGTGATAAAAGGGGAGAATTGAGCAGCGCATTTAAAAGTTCAAGGTCAATGAGCACTTTTTAAAAGCAGCATCCTGCTTTCCCAAGGAGCCCTACGTCAGCGGCAGCGGGCTGGGGAGGAAGCGGCGGTTTCCAGCGATGCGGGGCGGGGCGGGCCTCAGCCGGGTCCCCTCATTTTCCCAGTGTCTTCCTTGCCATCCAAACAAAGAAGTCCGAGGAACTTATCACAGACGTCTCCTGTCCCCGTTTTTCTGAGGTCTGACAATATAGCGGCCCAGTCAGTGGCCTTTATCACTCAGTGCAGGCACAGCCTTCC